GGCACCTCTTCTGTAGTACAATGGAATAAGCAATGGCTCTTAAGTCAGAGGACTTGGCTTTTTCCTACCTCTGACAATTATTAACTATGTGACCTTTGGCAAGACACTTAATCTCCCTAAGTCTCAATTTCATTATCTTTAAAACGAGGGGGTTGAGTCAGATGGCCTCTGAGGTCCCCTCCAACTCTACATCCATAAGTCTGGCTCTATGGAATAGTCTCTACTCTCTTGACTTCTATCACACTGTCCTTACGTGGCTCTCCTCCTAGCAGTGTAACTGCTCCTCCTCAGTATATTTTATCACGCTCCTCTGGCTTTTATCTACCCTTATTCCAAGACTCTGTTATAAGTCACCTTCTCTTTTTTTCTCTATAGTCTCTTCCTGACTGATTTCATCTTCAATGCATTCAATTATTATATTGCACAGATGACTTTCCAAACAATATATCTAACTCTGATATCTCCTCTGAATTGGAATCCCAAGTCACCAACTGCCTCTACCTGTGTATGCTGCTGGCACCTCGAATGCAAAATGTCCAAAACTGAATTCATTGTCTTCTCCTCTAAATAGTCCCTTTCTCCCAATGTCCCTATTTTTGTTGAGAGTACCATCATCTTTCCAGGCATACAGATTGAAGGTCATCTTTGACTGTTCTTTCTCTCTAATCCTCCTCCCTCCTCCCTCCCTCCCCCCCCTCCCATTTATCTAATCCATTCTCAAAGTCTGACAATTATCCCTCCATAACAACTCTTGTATCTGTGTTCTTCTTGTATCTGTGTTCTTCTCTCCACTCATATCCTTGTCTAGATCCTTATCACATCTCACCTGGACTATATCAATAGCCCTGTAACTGGTGTCCTTGCCTCTGGTCTCTCCCTTCTCCTATCTCTTCTTTGAACAGCTTCCAAAAATCATCCTCCTACTGCAAAGATCTAATCATGTAATCCATTTCATTGAAAACTTCCAGTGGTTGCTTATTGTTTTTAGAATAGAATACAAAAACCCTTAGCCTGGCACTCAAGGCCCTGGACAATCTGCCTCTAATATACCTTTCCAGCCTGATATCACATCACTTCAGTTCATGCATTCTATGTTCCAGTCAAACTGAACTTCTAATTATTCCTTGAATTCAGCATGCTATCTCCTAACTCCTTGCATTTGTACAGACTGCCCTCATGTCTGGAATATACTCCTTCCTCATCTGTACTTTTTAGAGTCCCTTTACTTTAATGCTCAACTCAGTTGCCACCTTCCCTATAAAGTTTTCCCACTTTCTGTGAAAGTCTCCTTTGCTTTCCCCACACCCAATCTTATATGTCATATCCCCTATTAGACATAACAGCTAGACTAGTTATTTCATATCCCCCAGGAGAATGGGAGATTATCATTTTTTTTCCCATCTTTGTATTTCAAGAGTCTGGTACAATGCCTTACATATAATAGACCTTAACCAATGTCTGTTGAACTAAATTAAATTGAGTTCTTTCTATTCCTTTCTAGTTGAGGTTTAATGGAAATCTATTTTTGTGAGGGAACTATGAATCGATTGGCCACAGACAAATGTTTCTGCTCTCCTAGTTGAGTGGAATTCTCTTGATCTAACAGTAGGAGATGATTGCAATGACTGAAAAGAAATAGAGTAACACTAAGAAATATTGGCCAACTTGATGTGGCTTTGCCAAACTAAATAGCAATGTGGTAGATCTGATGATTTGGGGAAACAAATTAAAAGGTTAAGTTTTAGGGAGAATTCAATTTGTTGTCTATTTCATTTCAGAATTTTCTTTGTTAACTAGTTTTCTATTGTGTAAATGATTTCCCCCCCATCCCCCCCCCACATCTCCTCAGGTACGGAGAAAACACACCAATTACATCAATATTCCACTGAATTTCATTGATATCAATGCTCCCTCTAAATATAAAGATGGTAATACACCAATTTAATCTCCTCAATCTGGAATTTGCCTAAATATACCCAGATTGCAACAACAATAACTTAATTTCTAAATACTTTTTTTTTAATCCATGAAGCAGATACAAAATGCTTACATTGCATCCTTTGTCATTTTTGTGGTATACTGTGGGATGTTTTTTCTCCCTGAGACTATTTCTAGGTTTGTCCAACATCAGATTTATAATAATAACTTATATTTAGATAATGCTTTCCATACAACTTTCCCACATAACATGTAGCACAAGGTTTATCAAATTCCATCTTTACAAGTGAAGAACCCAGACTCTGTCTGAGAGGTGAAAAGTTAGTGCTTGCCCACGATTACATCCAGACATTAGGCAGGACTTACAGAAGGCCTCCTCACTTCAAGGATAGGGCTCTATCCACTATAACATTTTGTGTCTCAAAATCTACATCAAATACCTTTCAAATAATCTGAACCCAAATTCTTTAAAATAGCATAGGGGGGCCTTTCTTTAGCTTTGATGTAGCCCAGTTTGATTATAGACATGGTTTGTTTGCTGAAAAGATTTGCCAGCACTGTTGCATAGTGGCTAGGGCTCTATTCTTAGGGGCAAAAGACTCAGGTTTGAGTCCTGATTCTAGCACGTTTGCCATGTGAACTTGTGCAAGTATTATTTATTACCTCTCAGGAACGTTAGTTTCCTCATTTGTAGAAATGTCTTAACATTTTACCTAACTACCTCCCAAGATTATTATGAGGGAAGCACATTGGGGAGGAAAAAAAACACTAGGATGAAATATGTTTGGATACAGCCAATGAGGGTCTTTATTTTGATTGACTATGAATATTCATTTCAAGGAATTCATTTTTGTTTTATCTTTTTTCTGATAAGGTCAGAAGTGGGAGAAAGAGAAAAAATATTTTTATTAATTAAAATTTTTCTTTAAATAATAGAGAAGTGGGGGTTCTGTGGAATGTTGCACACACATTCAAATGAGGTCACTGTAGTATTTATTTTGCTTGATTGTTTTGTTTTCTTACAAAAGACTTCTCATAGAATAGGGGTGAATTATAAATGTTTATAATGTAAAAACAAAGCACATCAATAAAACTTAAAAGACAAAAATCAGTATAGAAATAGGAGCTACTATCTATCATAGGTTTGTAAGTATAGAAGTAGGTGAAATAGTTTTCCAGTATAAAGCATATTAATAAGTGCTCATGCTTATATAGGGGCAGCTAAGTGGTGAGGGGTAGCTAGGTGGTGTAGTGGATAGAGTGCTACAGAGCCAGGAGTCAGGAAGACCTGAGTTCAAATCCAGCCTCAGATACTTACTAGTTGTGTGACCCTGGGCAAGCCACTTAACACTATTTGCCTCAGCTTCCTCATCTGTAAAATGAGCTGGAGAAGGAAATGGCAAACCACTCCAGTCTCTTTGCCAAGAAAACCCCAAATGAGTCCAAGGAGAATTGGACAGGACTTTAGAATTTACAAACCACTTTCATGTCCATTATCTCATTTGAACCTCATAAAAGCCTGGTGTAAAAGGTAATAAAAGTATTATTATCCCCATTTTATGGACAACAACTTAGACTCAGAAGATTACATGACTTTCTGGAAGTTCTAAGGTAGTATCTTCTATGCTATTGTGGTGTAGTAGATGAAGAGATGACTCTCAAAGCCAGGAAGACCTGTGTTTAAATCCTATCCCTGCCACATACTAGATGTGTAACCCTGGGCAACCTCTCAGTGCTACAGGGAAGCTACTCTCAAACATTAGACATTACAGAGAAAATGCCAATCTGCAGTGGGGGAGGGAATTGCCTGAACTACGAGTTCCCAATACCAATGAAATCACAGGTCTAGGTCCTTTTCCCCTTTTTCTTGCCTAAGGTATCACAACTTGTAAACAGAATGTCTAGGATTTGAATGAAGTCCTTTGGAATCTAAATTCAGCATTCTTTCTACCATATTACATATACCCACTACAAGAAGAGGGGAGATCAGTCATTTTGCTCTTAAATAGCACTATCTAACACTTGAAAAACTCAGGACTGACATTTGGGTTCCCATAAATCTCGTAGTTAAACTTACCTTTAAAATTACTATAGTAAAGAAATCATGCTAGATCTTTTAAAAAAAAAATAACAAAAACCCAGAATGAACAATTTCCTTAATCATAGGATAATGGATCAAGGACTAGAAGGGAACTCAGAGCTTGCCTAGTCTATGCCCTTCTTGTTAAAGATAAGGAGACTAAGGCACAGAGTGATAAAGTGACTTGCCTAAGAACAAACAGTTAAGTAGCATTTCCCCATTATTTGGTGGAGAATATTTTAAAAAACATGAGTAAAAACATTGTCTAAAAACTACATGACCTCAGTTGTAGACCTCTATTTCATCTTCTAGAGATCCATCAATGAACGATCATGTGGACAACTCTGGCAAAAAAAAAAAAAAAAAAAAAGCAAATACAACCATATTTTTCATCCCAGGGAAAATTGTCAGTTCCTGGAAAGAATTGTCATAGCAGTCCTCTACCATTCCAGATGATTCCAGAAGACCATAAAACCTTTAACTTAGGTCTTCATGCTTCCTAAGAGCTAGTAGTGCTTATAAATGCAAAGAATCACTTTATTTGGCATCATTATACAAATACTTCTGGGGGAAAGTTTTAAAACCTGCGCACAATCCAAAAGTTTAGCTCAAAGTTAAAGCACAGCAGGAAAATTTTAGGCTTTCTTAGTCATAGTATGACCACTGCTGCAAGACCCGTGATTTCCTTAGCACATAAGATGGTCAAGAAATTGTGGTCACATCAAAGTTTAGAATCCATGGATGGCCCAAAATTAGTTTATTTGCCCCCAAGACTTTCATTCAATTGCAGGTGTGAGAATCATGCAGGTAATTCTTTTAAATAGCCTTCCAACCAAAACCTTGCATTTGTTTCTATGCCACCAAGTCATGTAATTCCACACTTAGCAATTAAAGAAAGATGCAGCACACCCACTAATGATTCATTTATTATTCAGTATAAAAACATTCTTAGAATAATAAACATCCAAGAAAATATGGGGATTAGGGGAAGGAGGGCTGGGGGAACCCCTTATACCAGAGTATAACTCCTGAAGGCAAGGGGATTGACTAAATAGTGGTTCAAGATCACTTCCTTCTCCATAGTTCTAGGACATGTCACAGTTCCAATAGCTGATGGAATACTGTGAAAGACAAAGAAAGGTGGGAGGTAGTTAATTATAGAGATATGTAAAGGTGGATGAGTAATAGCATGTCATGATGTGGGAGACCTGAGGAGAGAAACTGAATATAGAAAGTGTTTATCCATATAAGGAATATTTTTATCTTTTCAAAAAAGAAGGATCTAAGTTGCCTGAAAAGAAATACACCACTAAATTATTTTAACAGTTGAATCTTGGAGATATCAAATCCCTAAGACACCAATACTTACTATTACTCACCACCCTACTGTACTTCACTATATATATGGGCATACATAGAGGAGGGAACATTTCTAAACCTGCCTTGATTAAAGCAAAAATAGATTTTGAGGAGGATCTAAAAAGAAAGGTTTTAGCAATAAGTTATTTTCACCCACCATTTATGGAGAGATAAGAGAGACATTGCAGAATTAAAATGAACTTATTTACATATTAATAATTTGGGGCTGAAGGAAGTCTAAAATCACATGCCCACCTAAGCACCAAATTTGTCATAAGGAACTTTGATTTGGCTTAAAACTTCTGTAGTTAAAGGCACATAGCAGTGTCTTTTCTTATCATGTCCTTAAAAGTAATCATATTCCTTGCTGCCTACACAACTATTACCCAAGCACATCAGACATAATCATCTAAAGGCTCTGGAAGAAAGGGTCTACTCCATTTGCTTATCTTACCTAGAAAGCTCCCACCATCTGCATTTCTAGCAATGACTTGCTAGACATTTGGAATGCCTGTTTCTCCTAATAAATTAGAATGTCAATTTGACCAATGACAATTTAATATATATTACAAGCAACAGAATTCTGTTCACCAGAATCTTGCCATTTTATTCCTTTTCTCCTTACACAGGTTTGCAGCCATCAGCCATTTCTGGAATGTCCTCATTTCTCACTTCTTACTCTAAGAATCTTTAGTTTCCTTCCAAGGGGAGCTCAGGGGCCACCTCTTGAACATGAAGACTTTTCTGATCTTCCACTTGTGTGTCATGAAATTACTTTGTGTCACTTTGTATATACTTCGTATCTGTGTATCTTTGTACATTAGAATGTAAGCTTCCCAAGGGCTCAGACTTTCATTTTTGTCTTTGTGCTAAAGAACAGTACCTTGTATTGCATTGAGGAAACTTAAATGTTTGTTGAACTAAATATGCAAAACAACCCCCAAACAAAACAAAACAAAAAATGGTTTCAAGCTTCTAACTAAAGTGTACATTCACTATCATGGGAGAACTGAGCTGAGGCCCCCTGAAGGACACTGTTTAGCATTAGCTCCAGAAAAGAGTGGAAGTCCTAAATGCCCTGCTGCTTAGATCCCCACCCCCAGGTAGATAGATATATCATCTATATTTGCTGGGGCACAGGTGATAACAATTTCAGCGGTTCCTCTGCCGATGAAATCACGTGAAGGACCCAGCAGTTAATCAGAAACCAAACCAGACAGTCAAGCCAGACACATGGAAGTCATAAGTTATTGATTGCAAATCTGGCAGGGCTGGAGGCCATTCTCATTACAAGCACGACACCGTAGGGCCCGGTAAGATTCTTTAAATCTATTAGCCAGCATTGAAAATTTGCTTCCATGGCACAGAGAACAAGTAGCACTGCCTGATCCTCTACAGTAGAAGCAATTGTGTTCAGGGATCTCCCCTTCCTGAAAGAAATAAAGCCAAGGATTAGTTACTGTTTCAACACAGGCCCATCATCTCCACAAATGGTTCTAGGCAAGGAAAGAGAGTCTAGCAAAAGATTTCAGATTACCACAAATGTCTAAAATGAGACCAGAAGCAACAGCTCAACCAAAGACTCATAATATCTAGCATTTGTATTGTACTTTAAAGTTTGCAAAGCAGCCTACATGTATTATATCTTTTGATCCTTACAAGAACCCTGGGAAGCTGGTGTTATTATTCCCATTTTACAGTTGAGCAAATTAAGGCAGACAGAGGTTAAGTGACTTGCTCAGGGCCACACAGTAAGTATCTGAAGTGGGATTTGAAATCAGGTCTTCAGCTCTATATATACTGATGCCTAGATGCCTAGATAGGAATTCATGTTGTCATATATAACTAGTAATTTTAAAGAATAGGATAGACAAATACTTTCCAATCTATGAAGTTTTAATACTCTGTCATTAAATTTTGCAACACTTTTCATGAAAGTCATGTGACATGTAGTCATTGATTCCAGTGGATTAAAATTAGTTTTGTTTTGAACCTTTCATTAATAGCTTGTATGCTAATTAGAGCTATGTCAATTATGGAGCCTTCTTCCAGTTTTCCTAGACATTGCTATGAAAAAGCTTTGGGTTCCTAATCCTACATCTTGAGTTCCCCCTCCTATCCTGGGACCCATCATTTTTGCTTTCCCTCCTCCTTCTTTACCCCCTGCTCACTACCACCACACTGCAGGACCTTGGTGTGTATTAATCTTGGTGATTCTTCCAAGAAGTAAAGGGAGTTGCCTTTTTAAAGAAAGTTCTAGTTCTGTGAAATAAAGCCAGTGCAATTGGCAAAGGAGGTTCAAGGGATGCGGATGAACTTTTTTTTTTAATGAATTATTGACTTGTGTTTCCTGATTCATTAATGTGAGGAAGATTGAGGAATGCTGACATTTCCCCCATCATTATTCAAAAAGAATAAAGTATGTTTTACAAAAAAAAAAAATCTATATCTTAGGGGGAAATTGCCAATCTACATTTTTCTCAAAAATCTATTTTTATAGCCAAACTTGGACCTGATTCATTTAGTAAAACTGGAATTTTACTGTGCCACAAATGAGGTTCCAAGGAAATAATTTCCATCTCCATCACTGGCAATATCTCACACCCTAAATCTAGAGGATCCTAATGTCTGAGTGTTATCCCCACGTGAACCATGAGGGGGAAATGATACATTCATGTAGGGCTTTACTATTTACCAAGCAGTTCCTTCACCACAATCCTGTGAGACAAGATGTATGCTTATACCTCCATTTTCCAGATGTGGGAACTGAGGCTGAAATCCCCATCTCTTAAATGAGGATAAATAAAAATTAGTTGCCCAGAGTTACACAACTAGTGAAGGAATCAAAATGCTTCTTTAGCATGATTTTACTTCTCAAGAATTAGCTCCCAATTTCTTGAATAGTTTCTAGTTATTTTGATTCCTTTTCAATACAAGTCAAACACCAAGAAAACAGAGATAACTCTAGATGGAGCTGAGATTTTTATTCTTCTCTCAGGGTCTGTTTTCCCCATCCTTCTTTTTAGATTTTTTTCTTTAAAAAAAAACAAACAATGTGTCTCAGTGGAAACCAAGGTTCCGAGTAAAATCATATAAAGCATACAGAAGTTTCAGTGATTTATGAGATCAAGTCAAGTGAGCACACATTTTTTTCTCCATGTTTCATTGCAACTGAGTTCAATTTTCTCTCCCCTCCTTTCTTTCCTTTTTTTTCCAATATAGCTAAATATATGGGTTCAAGGATTATTCTGACTTTCATACATACTCCTTCATCTTTTATAAAGGCCCCCAATAGCTTCATTCTTCCATATAGTGGAACAAGAAGTCATTTAGTCAGAAGAGACTCCTCAATGACCTTTGACCTTTTTAAAAACAAAACTTTTCCAAAGAATAAGGGAACAAGTAATATTTTAATACACAGTTCAGATGGAAGGTAAATTAGGTACAATCTTTTACTACAGCATTGTTTCTACAATTCTGTCTTAATTTGTAGCATAGTTTCTAAAACCCACAAATCTCTCAAAACTGAAATTAAAAATAATTTTTATGCCAGCTTTGCTGAAACACACTTTAATCTAGCCCTGGTTTGACCTGATGCCTTTTTTTCTTAACAAATAAGCAAATTGAATCTTTCAAAGGAAGATTCAGACCCATGTCTGACAAGCAACAACTCCTACTCTCTTTCCATTGCATCACACTGTCTCCCTGCCCAGAGTTTTAATAAAATCAGTCTCTCCCTAACAATAACTGTTGCTCATATTACATGAAAACATATAGGGGGAAATTATAAAATATTGTATCCATTGTACGACACTGTATCTCTGGCCGGAGTTTAAATAAAATCAATATCCCCTGAACAGTAACTGTTGCTTATGCTACATGAAAACGTGGGGAAAATTATAAAACGTGTCTAGAACTAGATGGATTCTAGAACTTCAAAAATAGAACTATCCAGTTACCTGCTTATAGACAAATGTCCAGGCCATATACCTACCTACTCTCTTCTTGGCTATCTCTAGAGATGCAGGCATCAAAACATCCTTTGGTTAACCTGTTTCATTGACCTAAAAGACAAGAAGTTCTTCCTTTATGCAAGGGAAGTCTTTCTTGTTTTCATTTGTGCTATTGATTGGTTTTCCAAGTCTATGAAAAACCTCTCAGTATCTCTTTCATAAAGGCCTTTTTTACACTAGAAAATAATGAAGCCCTAGACCCCTTAATCACATCATATCTCCCTTGAGGGCATCTTCTTATCCTCAACACAAAACTTGGCATATAGTAGATGTTTAGTAATTTTATGTTTAATGAATATTCTTTCTTTAAGAAACTGATCTTCTGTGACTTTAGTTATCATTTCCCCTCATCTAAAATCTTCCTAGTATCCTTTTAAATAAAGAGTATCTTTTTTTGGGCAACTTGGCATGATAGATGGGGAACCAACTCTGGAGTCACATCCCATCTTTGGGACCCTGGGCAAGTCATTTGAATTCTCAGGGACTTGAGACAAGTCTCTAATGTTATAAAGTTTGCCAATCTGTGGCTAATAAAGAAGTTTCCACAGTGATAAAATCAAAGATGAAAGATAAAATAAAAAAATCTCACCTTTCCCCAACCAAAATAATAATATAGATTTGTACACCAGCAATTCCTTACTCTGATGAAATCACAGGACCAAAAAATTAAAATCTTTTTTTAAGAAACAGAATGATGTAATCCAGTGATTTTCAAACTTTTTAGTGTCAGGATCCCTTAACACTCTTAAAAATTATAAAGAAAATCTCTACCAAGAACTTTTGCTTATATGAGTTATATCTATTTACTACATTAGAAATTAAAATATCTTAGCATTATTATGAAAATAGTTTCAACTTTGAGGACCCCTTGAAGGGAGGTTGGAGTCCCCAAGCTATGCTTGAGATCTGCTGGGATAGTAGACAAATAGCATTCTGGCCTTGAATGTCTCTGACCTTGAATGTGAGAAAGACCTGGATTCAAATTGTCATTTTGACTCTGAGTAGCTATGTGACCATAAGCAAGTCACAAAATCTTACCTAAGCCTCAGTTTCCTTATCTGTAATATAAGGAATGCAGCACTTAGTTCACAAAGTTGTTTTAAGGTTTAGGTAAGATAATGTCTACAAAGCTCTTTGAAAACTTTAAATCATCAAATTAGTTTCAGTTGTCATTTTTTATTAATTAATTAATTTATTTTTAGTTTTCAACATTCACTTCCAAAAGATTTTGAGTTCCAGTTATCATTTTTTAAAGTACACTGACCACAGAAGTACACAGTATGCCAGTAATAGTCAGTGTAAAGCATGATAAAATTTTTATGTATTCATTTTATTGTGCATATATGTCTAATAGGAACATGTAATAATGCACACTAACTGAAGGCAGGACTCCATTGACATACACAACATGTGATAATGATGATGATATTGGAATTTAAAGTCAGGGGCCTAGAAATGCAAGTACACCAACCTTTTCCCAAACCTTGTCCCAAAGGCTTGTTTAACTTTAAGTAACCACTTTTGCATATGACATATTTAGAACTTTTTATTAGTTACCAAACAATTACATCTCTCTTTGTATTCCCCACAATACCTAGTGTAGTGCCTATAATAAGTTCTCAATAAATATTTGATTGATTAACCAATCCCTCATCCCTTCTTTCCTTCTCTCCTCTCTCCCTGACTATCCTTGTCATGTCTACTGTACAGGCAACTGCTTTCCTATTCCTCCCTACAAAGTAAATGCGTATAAGAATGCTTATTGAACATGGAATGAATTAATAAATTAAATTATCAGGACAGTATGTACTAAACAATAATGAGGCTTTAATATGCATTTCTAATATTTTTAAATAGCCATTTTTGTTCAGAAATCGCTATGTACACTTGAGCAAATTACCTTGTCCATGTGAAAAGTGAGAGGGTTCGATGAGATAAGTGAACTATAGCCAGCATTATAGCATGTTTGCAAAATGCTTTATAAATATTATCTTTGTAAAACTTACAATTTTGTGTTTATAAATATGTCTTTATAAAATTTATAAATATCTTTACAAATGTTATAAATTATATCCTCACAAGGAAGTAAGTGCTATTATTATCTCCATTTTACAGATGAAAAAACTGAGACAGACAGAGGTTAGGTCACCTGCCCAGAATCACACAGCTAGTGAATCCCTAAGATATACTTAGCAATTAGGTAATTCCCTAAAGGCCCTTCCAACCCTTAAGTTACATGTTTCTAAAATTATCTATAAAGGTCAGCTAAAATTTTGTTTTAAAAGGTGTTCATATATCATTTGACTTGTTCTCATCCCAGGAATGAGAAGAGATTTCCCCCAAAAAAGCATAAATCACCATAAAATCAAGAAAATAGTAAGACTCTTCATCTAAACAAAGCTTTATTGTCCAGGATCAACAGTTTAAAGATCCAATTAACTGTATGTCTGCCCATAACAAAGAATGATTTCAAAACTGAGGTAGGCAATCTTGACTTCAGAGGCCTGGTCATAAAATATGCCTCCTTTCTCTCAGTAGTGGGGTGGTGGACTGCGGGTACAGAATGGAGCACATGTTGTCAGACAGGGGCAATGTATTGGTTTGCTTTGCTTAACTGTACTTCTTTGTTACAAGAGAGGGCAATAAGGGGGAGGTTGATTAAACAGTGAACACAATATGAAAAAGACATCCATAAAATATTTTTTAAACATAAGCTGTTGATAACAATAGTTTATATTTTATATAGTGTGCTAAAGTTTACAAAGCATTTTACCCTAAATAGAGTGGGGAAATGTTGACATTTGTATTTTTTTCCTTTGGTTTAGTTCCCAATTGCACTACTCGAACTTCATATTCTCTGGTAATCTTAGCTCTATATGCTTTTGGAAAAGATACTTTCTTTGGGGAATTCAATAAGTTAGCAACTCATGTAAAAGATGTTTGTATTCTTCTTTGGTCTTTCTCACACTATAGGAAAGTATCTGTGATAGTGACCTTTGTAAGAACTGAAGCAACTAAAATATAGGAAATGAGGAAATTGGAAAGATTCTCAGAGTCATGGTGGTCTCTTTCCCATGACAGAAACCCAATCATAATCCATTTCGCCATACCTGGATATATTGGTTGTGGGCAAATGTGGTTTCTGTTTCTGGCAGTGGGCCATCTGTCTGATCACTGTCTCCATCACCCTCTTCTTTGCTCATCAGAGATTGTTCCTCAGCCTCCTCTCCCTTCTGAAGGACTTTTCGCATGAAGTCTTTTTTATCCATTGAAGTTCGGATGATTTTCAGGTTATTAGTATAGATGATTATCTTGCCAAAATCTAGAATGGGTGGGGACTACAGAGAGTGAAAATGAGCACAGCACCTGTGATGAATCACCCAGTGAATAAGAAGTAAGCAGAAAAATAACCAGCTTTTACAAAATAGACTTAAGCCCTGCAGTTTTATATGCACCAGTTAGAGAAGGGAGGGAGAGAGAGAAGAGGGAAAAGAAAAAAAAGAGTAGAAAAAGGAAAAAGTAAAGAAAGTAGGAGAGAGAGGAGGGAAAAAGAATGGAATAAAAGGAGAGGGGGGAGAGGGAGAAAGGAGGAAAGAGAGAGAAAAGATGGAAAAGGAGGAAGAAAAGGGAGAAAAGGAGAAGAGAAAGGAGAGAGAGAGTGAAGTAGGAGAGAGCTAAATATAAGAATTAAGAAAAGATAGAAAGAGAAGGAGAAGGAAGAGACAAAGAAGCAGGAAGGAAGAGCAAGAGAATGGGAAGGGAGAGGAAAAGAAGGGTTCCAGAAGCTTTTTCAATGACTCAATCAATAGAATTGACATTATTTTCCTTCTCAAGCCACACATTTCATGCTTTGCCCAAATGTACCATGAGGTAATGAGAATAAGGTGTTTGTTTGCATTTTTTAACCCATGTGTAAGGTTTTTCTTCCTGACCCAGTCCTGGTGACAAGTATAAAAGTAACAGGAGAAAGATTGTTTTCAAAGGAGTCATAATTTCAGCCAAGCACAGTAAATGGAAGGCCAGATTCAGCCAAGGAGACTAAGGCCATATCTGGCTCAGCAGCAAGGTCAGGAGTAACCAGAGGAAATTACGGTTATACTTAGTTTCAAAGAGTCTTCACAACACGTGGCAGATTAGCTCCGACGGACCTTTTGAATTTGTCTGATGCTGTTGTACATCTGCCAACTGAGCCTAACATGAGTTTATTTAACCTGGTCGTAGTTAGCACCTCAGACTTTTCTCATGTTAGGTCTAGACAGAACCAGTGACGGTTATTAATGAAAATAACATCAGGGATGATATCTGATTTCTCTTAAACAAAACAGTTTATGTCCCATGGTTTTTCCTTTTGTGAACTGTCCTACAGAGATGATGGACTACCATCACCTAATATTACTGATATATGATATAAAAAAAATGTGAAAAGCAGTGTGCAGTGGGAAGAACTCTGAGAATTATGAGATGCAGCCTGGTATAGTAGATAGGGTACTATACTTAGAGTCAGGGAGACCTGAGTTCAAATCCCACCTCAGACATTTATTAGCAATTTGAATCCAGACAAGTTAACTTCTCTATGCCTCAGTTACCTCATTGATAAAATGATAGGGTTGGACTCAATGTCCTTTAAGATTTATTCATCTCTAAATCTATGATCCTCTGACTATAAACACTAGTTTGGGGATTGGAAGACTCAGGTTTGAATCCTGACATACTACCTGTGTGACCTTGCGCAAATCACTCAACCACCGGGCTTCAAAGATCTTTACCTATAAAATAAAAGAGTTGAACCAAATGACCTCTGGAATCTCTTCTAACTCTAAATCTATGAAAAGGTAAGGCCATATAAATGTAAAGTTCCATTATTATGAAATTTAATTCAGCAAATATTTCTTAACCTATTATGTTCAAAGTCATGTGCCAGATTCTATGAGCAATTAAAAAAAAAAACCCAGGCAGGCCAAATTTTCACAGAGTTTAGAATATAGTGAGGAAGATAAAACATTTACATCAACAGCTATATAGCAAGGTTGGATACAAAAGTGTAGTAAGAGTGATGTGTTCTCAATAGAGTGAGCAATTCTTTAGAGAGAGGGGGTCAAAGAAGGCTACCTGGAGATACAATATGAGTTGAACATTGAAAAGTGAATAGGAATTGAACAGGAAGAACAGGGAAAAGAGGTACTCCAAAAAGAGCACACAGAGGAATAGGACAAAACTGGAAGGAAGGAAAGAAGGAAGGAAGGAAGAAGGAAGGAAGGAAGAAAAAGAAAGAAAGAGAACCTGATCTTCAATATTATACATACTTTCCTCCTCCCAAAGAATTGCCTAAATCAGTTTAACTAATAGAGAGTGTATTATATCTCATTTAAATAGAATCTTATTTAAACCATAACAAATTCATTCTGGACGTACTTCCAGGAGGTCTTACAGAATTTAATTTCCCTTTAAATTGATCTTTACATACACCCTCCTGGTTTGAAAGGATAATTTTCTGAAGCCACAAGTTTCCCTGTTGCCTCTAGTCTTCCTTAAGAGATCACGTAGCAGCTTCCATTTCTTATTGTTTAATGTCAGTCGGAGTCCTGTTTCACTCTTCAGTATCAGTTTCTAAGCATTAAAAGATAAGTTTGGTGGTGCTTTTAGAAGGCTCCATTTCCCTTCTGGTGGTAAGTAGTCAAAGTGGTTAGTTAGGTTATAATAAAGCTCTCTTGCTTTTTTAGCTTTTTTTTTTTTTAAGGCAAACTAAAAGAACCATAAGAGGTCAACTAATTGAACCCTCTGCCTCCAAGAGGGTCAATGCCTAAATCAAGAGTTCTTACCTTGGGATTTGTGAACTTGTTCTTTTTAATGTTTAATATTTGGCTAAGTGTATTTCAATAATAGGTTTCCTTTGTTATCTTATGCATTTAAAAAACATTATTATGAAGAGTCCATAGGCTTCACCAACCTGCCAAATGGGTGTATGACATAAAAAAGGTTAAGAACCCCTGATGTTTGGTGGATGGAGCTCTGGCCTTGGAGTCAGGAGGACCTGAGTTCAAATCTGGCCTCAGACATTTGACACTTTCTAGCTGTGTGACCCTGGGCAAGTCACTTAACCCTGATTGCCTCACCAAAAAGAAAAAAAAACAACACCCTGATATTTATCATCTAAGACAGATGAGCTTTTATTCTAGCTTTAAAAATATCCAAAGTTAAATATTCCACTTGTTCCATTGATAGACTTTGCCAGTATTCAGTCACCTTGACAGCCAAGAAGTCTTCACTGTATCTAGGGAAACTCTCTCTACATGTAACTTAAGTTCATGGTATCTTATTTCACATACTGTGGGAATGAAGACAGACTGTTTAGTATACTCGTTCTACCCATTGGAATCTGGGAATGATCAATTACTTCCTTTTTCATAGTCCCCAGCATAAGAACATTAGTTTCTTTTTCGTTTACTCAATACTTACTGGGGATGAGCAATCTGAAAGTCACTATTAAAGGGACCATTTATCCTGCCTTTCACTCTCTCTTTACAGGCTAACTGATCATGTTTACCTATGTGATAAGAAAGCCTTATTCCTTTAACCATTTCTTATAGAACCTATTTTCCATTCCTTAAATCATTTTGTATCATTCTCTACTTTCTTTACATTCATCTTAAAATGAAGGTTCCCAGTATCACAAAATTACAAGAGTTAGAAAGAACCTCCATAGCTATCTGGTTCAGCCTATACCAATTTTTTTTTAAATTCAATTTACAACATACACAACTGGTCATCATGAATTTGCTCAAAGACCTTCAGTAAGAAGGAACCCAATATCTACTTGGACAGTTCATTATACTTTTGGATAGTTCTAATTATTAGAAATGTGTTTTTTCTTATACAAAGCCCAAAATTGCCTCTTTGCAATTTTTACTCACTGTTCCTAGTTCTGCTACCTAAGATCAAATGGAAGAAAGCTAGTCTCTCTTCCACAAAAAAAGTTTCATTTACTTAAAAATCACTATGCTGCATCTCCTTTCTCGAACCCCCAACATAAGCCTTCTGTTTTCCAGGCTGAAGATCCCCATTTTCTTCACCCACTGTTTATATGTCATCAATTTTATCATCCTGTTTCGCCTTGTCTGGATACTCTCCAGGTTATCAATGTCCTTCCTAAATTGTGGCACCCAGAACTGAACATGATACTATAGATGTGGTCTCACTAAGGCAAAGTACATCCAAACTATCACCTCCCTAGTGCTGGATGCTATGCTTCTCTTAACACAGCCCAAGATGCTAGCTTTCTTGGCTGACATATCCCACTGTTTTCTCAAACTAAGTTAGCAGTCTACTAAAACTCCCAGATTTTTTTTTTCAGAAAAACTGCCACCCTTTATTTCACTATATTTAATAGGTACTTATTGACTGGCTACTATGTTCAAGAAATTGCATTAGGAATTGAGGAGTATGAATGATGTATAAGACAGTGTTCCTATCCAGGGAGATTAGTTCAGTAGGAAGAGATGAAGAATAAATAATATATAATACACAAGAGGGTGTGAAACTGCATGACAGATACAAAGGAAATGCTCAAAGAATTTCAATTTGTCAATCTGTGTGGATTCTACTATCATAATATCTATCATATCCATTTTCTTTTCTTATTTGACACTATCCTACACCAATCTGGTTCAGGCCTACATCACCTCAAGCCAGGACTATTGAAATAGTCTGCTGGTTGGTCTCCTTGCTTCAGGTCTCTCTCCACTTCAATCCATCTCCCATTCAGCTATCAAAGTGATTTTCCTAAAACACAGGTCTAACCATGTTATGTCCCTATTCAGTAAACTCTAGTGACTCTATTACCTTCAGGATCAAATATAAAATACTTTGTTTCACTTATAAAGACCTTCATAACCTGACCTCTTCCACCTTTCCAGTTTTCTTAAGCTTTACTCCCCTCCATATACTCTGTGATCCAATGATAAAGGTTCCCTTGCTATTTTTCATACAAGACACTCCATTTCCCAACTCTGCATTTTGACTGGCTGTCTACCATACCTGGAATGTTCTCCCTCCTCAACTACATCTCCTGTTTTTCTGACTTCCTTTAAGTCTCAGCTAAAATCCCACCTTCTGCAAGAAGCTGTTCCCTACACCTCTTAAGCGATGCCTAACATCTGAGACTATCTCCAATTAATTCTGTATATGTCTTGTTTGTATATAGTTGTTTATATGTTCTCTCCCCCATTAGACTATGAGCTCCTTGAGAGAAGAGATTGTTTTTTGCAATTCTTTGTATCCCAGTGATTAGCCCAATGCCTGGTACATAGCAGGTTCATAGTAATAATTTACTTGCTTTGATGATCTAAGAAAATTCCAAAAGATTCATGTTGGAAAATGCTATCTACATTCAGAGAAAGAACTATGGAGTGTGAACGCAGATCAAAACATACCATTTTCTCTTTTTTTTTTTGTTTTTTTGTGTTTTCTTCCTCATGGTTTTTCCCTTTTGTTCTAATTCTTCTTTTACAACATAACTAATGTGGAAATATATTTAATATGATCATACATGTATAGCCTATATCAGATTGCATGCCATCTTGGGGAGGCAGAAGTGTGTGTGGGGGGGGAATTTAGAACTCAAAATCTTATAAAAGCCAATGTTGCAAACTAAAAATTAATTAATTAATTAAAATTTTAAAAATTTTACTTGCTTTGGTAGGCATTTTGGAGTGGGTAATATATAGAAAATGTTTAAACAAAAATATAGAGGTGGAAAAGCAGAAGATGTTTTAATGATTGTTGCAGTTTGGATGGAGCATTTTTTTTTGGTTGGGCAATGGGGTTAAGTGACTTGCCCAGGGTCACACAGCTAGTAAGTGTTATGTGTCTGAGGCTGGATTTGAACTCAAGTCCTCCTGAATCCAGGGCCGGTGCTCTATCCACTAGCTGCCCTGGATGGAGCATTTGTAAATCAGAGTAATAAGGTTGAGATAATGGTGGAAAGGTAAGTTAGAGCAAGTTAGGGTGGACCTTGGATACAATGATAAGGAGTTTGGATTTTATTCTGTAAGCAGTGGGAAACCATTAAAAGTTTTTAGCAGGAAAATGATATAATCATAGAGATGTGCAATAGGAAGAAAAAATTGTGATTAATTGGTATTCAGGATGCATTAGAAAGAGAAGGCACTAAAGGTGTAAGGACCATTTAGGAGCCTGCCTCAGCGAGATGGAATGAGAGTGCTGAATTAGGAGGGTGTTAGTGAGAATGGAAACATGGGAATGAATTTGAGATACAAGTACAGAGGAATTGGAATGAGTACAAAACCAATGAATCTCAAACTTCCCTTCAGAATGTTGGAGTAATGGTATGACTCAAAAAATTCCTGACCTAGGTACTGAGGTTTTTAGTGAACCATGTCAGAATGATGATGATGGTAATGATGATGATAGCTAACATTTATATAGCACTTACTGTGTGCCAGGCTCTGTTCTAAGTGCTTTACAATTATTATCTCATTTGATCCACACAACAACCTTGGGTGGGAGGTGCTATTATTATCCCCATTTTGTAGATGAGGAAACTGAGGCAAACAGAGGTTGAGACTTGCCTTCAGTCACACAGCTAATAGATATCTGAGGCCAGGTTTGAACTCAAATCTTCCCTGACTGTAGGCTCAGTGTTCTATCCACTGAATCACTATGTAATTTAGGAGTTCTAAACAAATTAATATTATCTTCACTGGTTCTGCACAATTTTGTGAATATTAAAATCATTTAAAATATTACAAGGAGCTTTGGTCATTTATATTCTGTAAGAATATTGTAAGGAAATCTGCTAAATTTGATCAATGTGGATATGCCTAAATTATACTTTTAAAATATTCAGCGAGGACTTTTGTTTTAAAGAAGACACATATTCTGGGTTGTTCCCTCAGCCTGCAACATAATAAACACTTAATAAATGTTTGTTGACTTTAGCAAATTAACTAAAATTTTTAAATATCATTTACATTTTGTACTTTCTAGATGAGAATGTACTCCGCTGTTTTATGCATCAATAATGTTTAAGTTTCATAGATCTAGAACCTGAAGGAACCTCAGAGGTTATCTAGTCCAACACCCTCATTTTACAGGAGAGAAGACTAAGGGTAAGAAGGTTTAAATGACTTGCCCAATGTCCTGAAGGTGGCATACAGGTGGCAAAGATGGAATTCAAACTCAGGTTCCATAATTCCAAGTGCAGAGAGGAAAGTTCAATGATCTTTTTATTGTACCACACTGCCTCCCTTAGTATGTTATAGAAATGTATTTCATCCAAAGTGGCAATTACAGGTTCATTGGGCAGAGAATATACCTACCTAATCTATTAGTTTTTAAAAATCATTAACTACTTTCCAAAACCTCTCAGTCCTTGAATCAACTTATGCTTATCCATGATAATAGAATCCTGAAATTCACAGATCAGATGAAAACTTCATTTTTACCAGCACTTTAAACATCCTCCTTTTTCAACATTTTCTTCTTGATAAGTAGAACCATAGATTGATTTGAGTTTCAACACCTCTCTCCATGACCTTCAGTGTCTGGTAAAATTGCTAATTAAAGTAAATTACCAGACAAGGGGTAGAGATAGAAATAGGTCAAGGAAGACAATTGATCTATTGATCTGTAACCTATATAAACTCAATTCAAAAAACTTTTGTTAAGCCCTTGCTGTGTGCAGAGCTCCATGGTAAGTACAATGTCTCTGTGCTCTTAGCCTTCGATAATTAAACTTGAAAAAAAAATGACTAACTACATCATCCCTTTTAGAAAAGAAAACTACCCACTTTGCATAATTCTGTAAAAGGTTAGTAGCTAGAGAATGAATGCAACTTCATAAATCAATCTATTCAATTTATACACAGAAGAGCATAGCCAAGCCCTTATAACAATTTATTATGCTGAATAAAAATTTGAATACTGTATGTGTTTACACAAATTTCCAATAACTTATCAACAGGCATGTTATTTTCCTCAGAGTATTATTTTAATGACTTTCCCATGTAGCTCACTTACCATTTTTATTTTTTATTGAACTTGAGTCAAATATAAATCTGAGATTTTCAGTACTGATCTTACATAGTAATGATCAAAAGCGTTTAGGGGGAAGCCTCTTCCAGAAAGCTAGTGAAAAATGTGCAGTCCTTACCTTATGGTCATTAGTTTTGTAATCTTTGAAGAGAGGCTGGCTACCTGCCAGAGTGTAGGCATTTCCCTCTCTATAAACGCTGATTCGCTGAGCAGTCAATTTTGTAGAATAAAATCTTGGTTTGGGAGCTTCTCCAGCCCCATAGACACTCTCCACTGGTTCAAAAGACTCTTGGATAAAGCTGTGAGGGTATTCGTCCTTTGGGGACTCAAGTTCCTGGCCATCTTCAAATACCTGCTTCAATACTCTACCACTGTAGGATGAAGATATTTTAAATCTCACTTTTCGGGGTTTGCTTTCACACTTTTGGTTTGTCTTCTTCTCAGGATCATCCATCTGTACAGATTCTGTCCTATGGTTCTCAAAAATTAACTTAGCCAGGGAAACTTTGGGCTTTGAGAAAAGAGCATTTAATTTTCTCCCCTTGAGTGCATAATTAATTCAAGTTGGTGTTAGGGTACTCTCAGGTTACAGCTAAACTGACACCCATACATTAAATATTGATAGATGCTCATGAAAATGAATGTAATTGTGGATCTGAGGAGAGAAAGAAATATGAGGTAAGTTTTATTTTGGGTTTTTTTTTCCCCTGAGCTTGCCTGAGCCTGTAGGTTGGTTGTTTCATTTACATGAGCAAGTATGAACTTGGTAAAGATAAGCTAATCAGCTAACAAATAAGGGCCCAACTATACACTCAAAATTATATTTAAGGTTACAGGGAAAAGGTATAAAGCATAGTCCTTGTCTTCCAGTATTTGCACTATGGCTTGGGAGAAAGGATTCATTTATACAAAACAATTAAAGAATAATAAAGTTGTAAACTAAGTTATTAAAGTCAGTGATGTTTTGAGAAATTAATGTGGGCTGGAGTAGTAAGGGAGGATATAATGGAGAGAGAAGGATTTAAAGGTTAGACGTTAAAGGTCATCTAGTCCAAATCCTCTCATTTTATAGATGAGGAAACTAAGGCCCAGAGAGATTTAACAACTTGCCCAGAGTCACATAGATACTAAGTAGTAAAGACAGGATCATAACCCTGGCAGGGGTAAGTGTACTCCTCATTTCCCATTTCCCATCATTTCTCTACCACTATCCCATTATCTTTCAATGATTTCACCTCCTTTGAGGCCTACATCATCCACTTGTACCACTCTCTCTCCACCTTTTTTGGGGCCTGAGGAAACCTGACAAAGTTTGTAGGCTTATGGGAAGGAGTCAATGGTGAAGAAGATACTAAAGATGTGTGACACAGAGGCAACAACTCAAAGAAATTCTTGGAGGTGAGAAGGAATTCCTACCCATCCTCTAAAGCCCAATTCGGATGAAAACTACTCCAAGAAGATTCCATTGATTCTCCCAGTTGTTAACACTCTCAAATAATTTTTAATTTTTATTTACTTATATATTTACTTTTTTTACTGTAGGCATTATTCCCCCCCCCCCGCCATAGAATTTAAGTCTGTTGAGGGCAGGGACTTTTTAATTTCCATCTTTGTATTCCCAGTGCCTAGCACAGTACTTTGCACATAGTAAACATATAATAAATGTTCTTTGGGTTTAATTATATTCCTAATATAGGTAATAGCGAAACAACTACATTTAGACTTCAAGAACTAAGTGATGTATGGCATGAGAGGCAGTGCAGTAAGTATAAAGAGTTCTAGATTTGGAGTTGGACACCTTGTGTCCAAATTGTAGCTCTGCCATTACCTAAGTAAATTTGGATTTATTATATCCTCACTCTGGACCTCATTTTTCTCTTCTATAAAATGAGAGGGCTGAACTAGATGGCTTCTAAGTTCCTTTCAGGCTTTAAATTTGTGATCAAATGTAGGCACACAAGCAGGAAGGAAGGAAGGAAGGAACAAATGAACTAATTAATGAAGGAAGAAGGGAGGGAAGGAGGAAGGAAAAACATATTAAGTGCTTCCTGTATCCTAAGCACTGTGCTAAGTATTGGGGACACAAAAACAATCAAGCAAGATTGTCTCCACTGTCAAGGAGTTAACATTCTAATAAGGAAAGATGACACACATAGGAGAACTAGAGTTGAAAAATGAGGAGGGGAAGAATCGTGCCCTGGACGTGGTCTGACAGTGGCATGATGGTCCTGGGACCAAGCAAGATAAAGTGAAAGTTCACCAATCAGAGTTCAGCTTCCCCAGAGAAAGAGACTGAGTTCCAGTGAGAAGAGAGGGAAACTAGAAAATAGTCACCATGGCTTGGAGATGGCTGTGATTTTAGTTTTTTAATAATATTTCATTTTTTCCCCAGCTACATGTAAAAACAATCTTAAATATTCATTTAAAAATATTTCAGTTCCAAGTTTTCTCTCTCCTTCCCTCGCACCCCCCCCAAGAGGGTAAACAATTTGATATAGGTTATACATGTTCAATCATGCAAAACATATTACCATATTAATCATGTTGTGAAAGAAGACACAGACCCAAAAGAAAAAAAAAATGAAGAAATACAGAAAGTGAAGAATAGTATGCTTCAATCTGCATTCAGACTCCATCAGTTCTTTCTCTGGAGTTCTTTTCTTATCATGAGTCCTTTGGAATTGTCTTCGATCACTGTATTGCTGAGAATAGCTAAGTTGTTCACAGTTGATCATTATACTTATTGCTGTTACCATGTATAATGTCCTCCTGGTTCTGCTCATTTTACTTTGCATCAGTCCATGTAAGTCCAGGTTTTTCTGAAATCAATGGCTGTGATCTTTTTAATGAGGAACTAGAAATAACACTAGAAAATGAAGTTAAGAAGAGCAACTAAAAAGACTAAGAGAAATTCATGATGAAGGTAGCACAGTTTTAAAAGCATTAAGGCATCAGTTTTCATATGATATGAAAGAAAAGAGTACACCAAATGAAGAGTGAAAGAACTCAGATGGTATTACCCATTATTACCATAAAAAGGCAATCTAGAGGTTATCAGCAACTACTAACACACACACACACACACACACACACACACACACACACACACACACA